AAAAATAAATTATTATTATATACTAGACTAGTATTTATAAGTTAATTATTCAGACAAGAAGAATCTATACAACTATAGCTGCTAGATAGCTTACGATCCCGTTAAGCTCTTCTCCGCGGTTCTAATACCTTTATATATAAAAAAGTATACCTTTAAAAATAAAGCTTATAATATCTATTTTTAAAGGATACTAAACTGGCAGATAATATAGTAAAATTACGGTTACTTACCGTACTACACGGTGGCCTGGCGTAAGAAACGGGAGGCGCCGGCACCGGCCTTGCGCAGAGAATAGCATAGGGAGTGGCCTGGCAAGGGAGGCTTGGTGGTGTACACGTGCTAGAATAGCCCTTTGTGTTTGCTCTTGTCTTTGTTCTTATCCTTGACCTTGTTTGTTGCTGTTTGAGGCAACGCAGCATTATGGAAATGAGTTAAATCCGACCACTGATAGCCTAGATTCTTGGTAAGCGGGGGAGCTATCTGAGCTATAAGAGTTACCATCGAACTGCGAGACGAGACTGTCTCTGCTTCTACAAAATAATACTTGTAGCGGGGTGGTGGTGGATTTCCGTGCTGACGGGGCTGTTAATATTAGCGTCGCCGAAGGAGATAGCGGTTATTATAGCGGAGAAGCTGGTTGATGGCTACTTAATTGTGCTTTAAAGCAGATAGATCTCAGGGTGAGTTTGCATAGCTCTTGGATAATGGTAATAAGTTGGGAAGCATGGGTAGATATTTGACTAGGCCTGAGATTAGCTGTTGTGCTGTATAAGGCTATGTTACTAGCCGTACGACCTCGCCTCCTCTACCTGAAGTCTATTTAAATGCCTTTACCTTTCCATGTCCTTTATATACTTAATATGGCTTTATATGTAAAACCTATAAGTCGCAAAGACTTTTACATTGTAATTATTTACGCTTTATTATGTAAAGCTGATACTGTTACTTTGCTGTTTGATAAATTCTGGGATAATAATAGGGATACTTTTGGCCGGGCGAGAGGAGATACTAATACTTATATTACAGGGTATTTGGGCTCCTATAATGTTATCCTGGCTATTCCTCTTGCGATAGGAATAATAAATGCTACTATAATAGCTGCTTGCTTATACTTGAGCTTTCTAAGATTAAAGGGAACCCTAATTATTAGAGTTTGTGGTGTAGTCCCTAAGATTAATAGTATTAATGTTTTTCTGGGCGATATTATTATTAGTAAAATAATTGTCTAGTATAATTATAGACGATAGTACCTAGGCCACTTTGGGGTTAAGAAAACGATTAATAATACTTTTAGCAGGGCTAATAAGGATATTTACGGTCTTCTTGTAAGCGTTAAGACGGAGTTTAGATATAAAAGGCTGTAAGGGA